TTTTCCTGTACCATTTCGATAAGAAGATACACGAGATATTTTACAATCAGTGTATCGATCTCTATAAAATCAGGCTACTTCTGAATTCTTAATAACTTTCACCATAAATGAAGATCAAATCGATGTCTTCATCGTCTTTTAAAAAAAAACACGGATGATTCTCAAATGGAACAAACAAAATTATTTCAAAAGAAATTTGTTTCAAATGTTTTTATGAGGATAACATTCAAATGATAATTTAAAAATAATAATTTCATCCTGAAAAATTTTTTGACAGAGGGTAACAAAGATACTCAGATGTTTTATTTTATTCCAAGAGTGCTAAGCAAAGATTTATTTCGCATAATAACTACCTATATACCTGATAGAACCCTTGAACAGAAAAGGTCTATAACTACAGTTATACAGATTGCAGATACATTTAGGCAGAATAACACAAATTCTTGATTAAATTATTATTTTGTTTATCATTTTTTACATTAATTGAGTCCAATATATATTAAATAAAAGCAAAGAACAGTTATATCTATATCTCAATCTCTTCAAAGAAAGAAAAAAATATTTAATTTGAAGAATTCAAAATTTTTAAACATTATATATTTATTATTATATTTAACTATCATGTTTTAAATATTTTATAGTAGTAAAGATCAATATTTTTAATAATGATAAAGTAGAGGATACGGAAATAACGAAAAGGGAAAAAAGATCGTACACACTGTTTCATTTCAGGCAATAATTATTAATCGTTATTTGGAACGGTATAACATCGAGATTTTTCCCGGGCGAAAGCTCTTTAATCTTCCGTCGAGATCCTCTGGATCGTTACGAAACGGTGCTTAAAATGCAGGTGCAAGGGAGAATACCTAATAGCGAGTGCAGCTTGAGGGATGAGGTCCACCATTAAAAGGAATAATTAACGAGTACCAGCAATTATCATGGAACAGCTTGCGCCCGCAACGTCAACCACGGTTGAAAATTTTTATCATTGATTTACTTTGTTAAGTATATAGATTTAAATTGGTCATAATCGTTGGTATTAACAAAAGAAAGTATAGAAAGTGTAGTCATTAAAAATAATAAGATAATTATAATTATAGAGTGGGAAAGAATATTGCTTTTTAATATATTAATGTGTTTTAATATTTATCTTTAGTTTGTAATGTAAATATCTATAAAATATCTCTTAAAAATCTATTAAAACGTTTATTACCAAATAAAATTATTTATTTTTCCTTTTATATGCTCTTCTGATTCTTCTTCTTCTTCTTTTTCTTACAATTATATTAACAACTTACTTGTCTGATTATCATCTTATTTATTTCTCGTTTCCTCTAATTTTATTTAAGCCACGCAATAATTTAAATATTATTTTTATTTATTTAAATCTGTATTTTTAAGTTTATATTTGCTTTCATTTTATTAAAATTCACTTTCATTGCAATTCTTCGTATTTTGAGTAATCTCTTTTCAAATAATAATAATTATAATAATTATATATAAAGTTAAGAAAATTACACGTAAAAATTGACTTTCGTTTCCACATTATACATTCGAATGGTTAGTTTTGAAAGATGCATCCTTTGTATTTCAGGTCGGAGTGAGTTATTCTATGAAAAAGATTTCAAGCATCCTTTCCAAATGGCAGGAAGGTTTGCGGTTGGACCGTGGGACATTCATTCATACGTTTTCGGATGTAAGCACGCAATGTGTCGAAATTGTCAAGGTACGTGCACATTTCAAAAATCAATGTTACAAAATTACCTATGTATTTTGCTCTTTTATAAAATGATTTTTCCTTTCCTTCATTTCTATATCGTATAAACAATTTCAATGTATTTAAAATTTTTATTATCTAACGAAAATTATATATCTTTGAATTACTTGACATATCATTTACCATTTCTTACTAAGATTTTTAATATTTAATAAATATATAATATTTTTACATTTGTATCCATTTTAAATAATTAGATTAAATATTTATATATCTATCTAAACATATTTAATATATTCGAAATCAATATCTCTTATATGTACATATAATTATTATCATTCATTTAGATTTCAAAATTTTCGAAATACACAAAAATAGCATAAAATTTCGAGATATGCAATTTCGAGTTTCCCAAGGTTTTACAATACATCTCTATTGAGTAATCTATGAGTGGTATTCTAATTACTTATTATATTTCTATCGGCATAGCATCCGCGAAACAATCACGAAGAAAAAAAAAAACGATCATTTATGCAATTGCACAATCAACCCAATGTACGAGTATCTATTTCCGTTCATCAGCCTCGCGGTCGGCTCCTCGCGCACGAAACGTTCAACGTTCCAGGCTCCTTTGATCGTTCATCCGGATGCGGTGGTCTCGTTGGAAGCACACGTTCGCCCGGGCGCACGCGCGTACCTTGGAGACATCGCAGGTGCAGTTACCTGCTGGTCGAGTTCTTTCTTCGTCCCTCCTACAGCAGCCAATTATGCAAGTTTCACTTATCCGAAGTTGCCAGGTAGCTCGTTATCGTGGGACCACGAGTGGGTTAAGGACATCGGGACCTGCTTTCAATACATTCTTCGCCACGCACTGCCTCGCCACGAAAGTGTATGTACTCTGTTTCCGATAATACACCGACTGCCTTCCTTTTCCTTCCTCTTCCCCTATTGTGTGATCCCTCGGCTTGGAAATTTTCTTTTGTCTCTTCCTTTGCACGTCTTCGTCTATTTCAAGGATCGATTCTTTGTTGGGAAAGTGGTGTTACCAGTGGTGTGTTTGTAACGGTTGATGCAATTTTGAAATATTCGTGGTGTAGGGTTGTAAGGATATGTGTGGAAATGAAGATCGTTTAAACGAGAATTTCTGTGTGAATCTGATCGTAGAATGTGGAGAATGTGGCGTGTTTTGTTACGAACTTGTTAGTATAAAATTAGAGAGTGATTAGATTTTATTGTTAATGTTAATTTTCCAATCTCTCAATTTGCATAATTAAATTATCTATATATATATCAAATGTTCACTTTGATTGATAAGATAAAAATTAATGATTCAGAACTAATGTTCATTGTAATTAGAAATTAAACTGTCTATATAAATTTTTTATTTCCTGTCATTTTTGCAGAATTTCAGAGTTAAATGAATATTTTGATATATTCAGAAATATTAATATCATACCAATTTAAAATATGATTTATATTTCAAATCATTTTTCTATTATATACTTTCCTGTCTTTGTATTTTTGATAATATTAAATTGATGAATAATATTAATATAATTATAAGTAAAATTTGTATATACTAATTTTTATACTTTTAAAATCGATTTTTCAAAGATGTCTAATAATTATTTAGTATCATCTGCTGCAAAAAATGATTAAATATTCAAAAAATAAAATAGCTTCGAAAAACCTATTTTCATTTCTTAGAATTATCACTAGACCTGACCTACATTGACGTGAAATTCATTGGACAATTACGAATACGTTCTCTTACTCAATAGATATATTTATTCATTGTACAATGTAAGTAGAAAGATATAAGGTTACAGATTGGTGACAACCTAATTTATATTCAACTAGAACGACGCGTACGATTATCGAAGGTGGACCCGCTTCTAGGAAGGCGGCCCAATAGAACGTGTCCGCTCGGCGCAGACGCACTGGCATCTCTCCTTCTTCGCGCGACCTCTACCGAATCAAATCTAACTTTGCGGCGTTAGTATGCGCGCGCACCTCTCTTGCGCCGCCGTTCCTGCTGCCTATTGGTCTTACTGAATCATTCCCGCTCTCTCTACTTACTGACAAATACGTAAGATCAACTAATCCATACACCATATACCTTTTCCATCCCGGTATCATGATTCGCCATTTCCTATTCACGCGTTGAAATCTTCTATTCAATTAGTTCGATAGTTAATCGAGGCTTTGAATTTAACTTTTTTTCGATGTTAAATTTATCGGTAATGATTTTAAGATAATTTGATCGAAGAATATTTACGAATATTGTTGTCAAATTATTCGAAAGTATTTAATTGAAATCTTTTTATTTATATAAATGATTATGAAAATGATAATTTGGAAATGAAATATATTAGATATTATAAAAACTGTATTTATAATAATTGTAGAGTTTTTCAACGAAATTTTATAATTTCTTCTTTTTCTATTAATATTACCGTGTTCTCAATTGTTTGAGAATTAATCACAGAGAAATTTTAATCTGTAAATTCTTTTTACATTATAATTTACATTAAACAAAAGAACAACTCCAAAATTATTAACAAAACTTTCCATTTTTAAATTCCCATTTCTAAATCGAATACGAATAAAGCAACATTATTTGGAAAATTTGATTCAATAATGATCAGTCAGCATTTTCAAAAACGGATTAAAACTTGTTTCCAAACTATTCTCTAATAATATTCCATTTACAATATCTTTTTAACTGCCATATTCTTAAATTTAAAAAAATCATTACATTTACTCTATATTCATCAAATATATCAGAAAATAAAAAAAAAAGTGATTCTCAAAAACGAAGTTCAACCTACGCATACGCGTGCAGCCGAAAGAGGAAGGAAGATTCTCCACCGCTTGTATCCTCTTTCGATCGAGAGGGGATGAAATAGCGGTTACCCCACCAGCACGCCACTTCACCGTGGGCTAATGTTAGCCGCGTGTGAGCCCGGTAGGCGTGGCCTCCAGGTAGCAAAGAGACGCGCAGGTGAGAAGAGAGAAACCCAAGCAGGTAAGCAGACTGCGACGCGCGCTCCACGCGAGACCGTGCGTGTACCCTCCTCGGCCAGACAGGGGTCAGTCAGGGTCCTGCTCTTAGCCAGGACGCTCCAAGAGCATCCTTCTGAAGATCGGCCAAGGGACAGATTACGAACTGCTTTACTCTTCTTCGATCATTGTATCTTCTCGATTCCGTTTCACTTGCTTATCCGTATCCATTTAAAGAAGAAAATTAATAATTATTATATAACTATTATAAAAGAAGAAATAGTAGGTCTTTAGTGAAGAAAATCAAAAAATTTATATTTGGAAGAAATATAGTGTTATCTAATAGTCCGTCATCCGTGGTTTGGAAAAGTGTTCTTCGTCTCGATTTTCATCTCGATTCGAACCGCTTTGGACGCGTGAACCGGAAACCGGGCAGCGACCTTGGCGAACCACGTGGAGGATCGCCAGGGAAGAGTCGATCTAGTGAATGGGAGAAACTGTACGTGTATTGGAACTGTCTGTGGATTTGATATTAATCGATTGATCGATTATTATCGATTGTGAGGATCGTTTGTGCTCGGATATCCAGGGATCTAGTGCCAGGGGTATAGAGGACAGAGGACTCGCTCTGTTCGCCTCCATGAACAATCGGAGGACTTAGAGGACTAATCGATCGACCAACTGAAAAGCAATGTGCGGTGAGTTTTTTTTTTTTTTTTTTTAGTTTTTTTTTTTTTTTAGTTTTTTTTTTTTTTTAGTTTTTTTTTTTTTTTTTTATTCATGAGTTTCTTGTTCATGTTTTGTTCGCGTGATAAAATTGATGGGTTGGCGAGAAGTGTATGATGCTGTTATGCAAAGAGACGAGTTATAGATTATACCGGTGATTGAGAAAATGAATTTCTCCTTCGTTTGAATTTATGATGAATTTTTATGGCCGACCTTGTGTTATTTCTGGTACTGGTAACTGAAACGTTGAGTAATGACGTTGAAGTTATCTTAACTTTTTTGTCGTGTTTTGAAAAATAAAGTGATTATAGCATTCCGAAAAAAGAAATGATGATACATTAGAAATTATTAAGCAAATTCTTGAAATATTCCTTTTATAATTATGGTTTTAAAAGGTATAATATATATACAATTATAATTAAAAAAAAATATATATTGAACTTAAGAGAAGAATTTTTAAATTTACCGCGTAATTTCAATTTCAAATTGATTTCCTTAATTCTTATGATATAAAAAAAGATATAGGAAAAACACAATCATTTTTTTCTGTATCAATAATCTAAAAACTATACATTTTATATTATGTTATTATACGATTACAACATGTGTACGAAATATTCTCTTAAGTCAAAAGCGGATAATAGTCTCAGATTAATCAGATTACTTTTTATTACTGAACTCTCACGTCATTGATTTTTTGACAGTGAAAAAACATTGATATTTAACTTGTCAATTTAAATTTTTAATTATTATTAATTTCTATTAATAAAATTTTCAACATTTTAAATTACAATGTTATAAACAAAATTTTTTTTACAATTTAAATAAATATATATATAATTTAATACTTGATATAATCTCAAAATTTATAAAAGAAAAATATAGAATACTCAAGAAGTATTCGTAATTTCAAAGAAAAAATAAAAAAAATAGATCAAATATAATCTTCATCATCCGCTTGTCTTTCGTTCCGATAAATTCAATTTATTCGAATTAAATAAATCAAGTGTTTGCATAATCCGTTTAATAATTTATACTTATATGCTAGATTTTTAGTGGACAGCTGTTTCTTGTCGACGATTAAAAATCTTTCGATTGCTTGGTCTCGGGGACGAAAACTGACGTTTGATTACTTGGACACTTGTTTATACATATTTTAATGAACCAAGAATTCGACGGTCTATTGAATCGATTCGGATCACGTTCGAGATTTCGTGTAAATTGACTTTGACGCTACTTTTTCCAGTTAATTAGTTGGCAAACAATGAATAGTCGAATCGATCGAAATATCTATTCTTCGCTCGAGAATGTTGACTTTCCTGTCTATTTCTAATCTTTTGTGGTGGAAAAAAAATATAGTTGAATAAAACACGATATAAAACTTGTATTAGAATTTTCTAAATACATAAATAAATATATATTTATCCGAGTTTTTAAAATATTATAAAAATATAAAAGTGATTCTCAATGATGAAATTTTCTCTTTTCAAAAATTACTTTTTTCTTATCTCCTTTTTCTAAATAGATATATTTTTTTTTTTTTTCATACTTTTTGTTATATGCATTATCTAACCTAATTACGATAAATATCTTGCTAAAAATTTTAAACAAAGCTTTTATAATAATAAAAATAATAAAATTCAAAGAAACATCATAGATCGTCAACGACCCACTTTGTCCACAGAAAGTTGAACATAATACGTCGAAGAGCCTCGTTTGTAGTTCAACGATAATTACAGTTATATTCATACATTTTTTTTCTTTTTTTTTTTTTTTTTAACGATATTAACAGTATGTAAGCAATGGTAAAACTGAGTCGATAAATAACGGTCGGTGATTGACATCGAGCTTGGACATTATGGCTCGTTATCTACGCAAAACAGGAACCATTCTACTACGTATATCTGACACAGACATGTTTGCAAATCGCATTACAGATTTATTCAAACAACACGATTATTAGACTGCGTAGAGGTATACGTTATCTATTACCTGAAAACCTTCGACTTCATGATTCATGTTTTCTTGCATGCTCGTATTTCTTTCATATCGTTTAAATAAGTATAATACGGAGGTGAAATAATTATTCTCGAATGATTTCTGATCTCTTTAATATATTTTATATCGAAAAATTTTTGCGTTATTATATTATTTTTAACATCGGATATATATACGTTATTATAAAATATTAACGCTGCAAAAGGTATATAAAAAGGGTTGAACGATTATCCTGTGATAGACCTTTATTTAAAAAACATAATGTACATTTTTCATAATCTATGTATAAAAACAATTCACGAGAATATCATAGTGTAATTTATTTTTACTTTGTTTTCGATTTTTATGCTTTAAAAGGATAGATGATGGATAGATGAGATCTTATTGATTGTCGGTTTATCGAAGCTCGCCGCGAATAAAGTTCGTCGAGCAATCACGCCCGTTTCAGCTTACGATCAGATTAGAGTTATGTCTCCCGGATGGATACGTGCACGCATGTTTCTACGATGTATAATTCACAGTTCTCGTTCGAGGGAGGAGCATGTTTGTGATTTTTCCTATAAATCTGATAACCGTGGCTGCCTATGATTCGCGAGAATAATACATTAACTCGGCTCGCATTTAAATATAATATAAATCTATTTTAAAGCAGAACAGATGCTATTTCTTTTTCTAATTTCTAACAATAACGGTGTTCTCTTTAATAATCGTTAGATGTTTTCATCATATTGATTAAAAATAGTAATTTATATCCTGTTATTAACTTGATAACAGATAAACGCTAATTGTAAAATAACAAAAATTAATAAGTTTTTTTAAAAATTATGTACAATGAAAGGATTAAATAATCCATCGAGGTAAAAAAGTATTAAATATCCAAGAAAATTTTTCTTTTTTTTTTTTATGAGAAAGAATTGGAAAAAAAATTGGAACTTGCTCATCATTCCACGACAAAAGAACTTTCTTTGGTTAAATTGATAATTATTTACCTCGTGATTATTAAACCTAATTTTTGAAGGAATTTCAAAATTTTGATAATCGAAAATAATAAAAATGACTGTAATGTCCATCAGAAGCGGTACCGCGAACTTGGTACATGAAACCGGAACTTCACTACAGCGCCATTGGAGTTCCGGCGGCCGCTTTATCACCCCCGGCCACACTTTCACCACCGAGCAGCCCAAGTGTCACTTCGCCTTGGAGTCCTGGCGCGGCCGGAAGCAGCCTGAGCGCCGCGACATCCTCCAATCCTTCCTCGGTTTCCACCACGAGCCTCGTTCAACCGACAACGGACCGTTTCAGCGCTTTCACCCTCGTCTCGACCTGTAATCCCGACTCGAGACTTCAGAATCTACCGTTGACCACCACAGCCGCCGCTCGAGGTAACACGTTCTATATCTATAAGAATGTCTTTCTTTTTAATGAGGGGAAAAGAAAAGAAATGTGAGAATTTAATTTTTATTCGTTAAAAATAATTTTTTTGCAAATATTTCGTGAATTTCATTGTACAATCGAATACAGAAGAAATGGATAATTTTAATTCACCAATTTTAAGTCTTAACAATTATTTGCATTTACTTGTATAATAACGTATAAATTTTATAAATTATTCGTTATTTTATTGTATATTTTTCTATCATAAAAGAAAAGACAGAATTTGTTTGATTACTTAATATAAAATCATATTGCAAATATTTATTTTATAAAAATAATTTAACTCATATATTTATTAAATATACATAAATTATAATGTTACATAGAATATTTATATAAGTGATTGGAATTATAATTCTTTATTTGATTTTTATTCGCTAATATTTAAAATAAATAAATCCCTCAATTTTCCTATTAATATTTCACATATACACTCATTTTATCTTTTTACCCAAACTTAGAATATCATTGATTATTATTTGCAATATTAGAAACGTAATTCGTGTCAATGAAATTATCCAAACTTAGAGAAGAAACATTTCTCCAATCCAAGAATTTCCTCAATCATAATATTTACATCCACTACAATCGAGGCAGAATAACACTTCTTATAATCGTACCACAATCGTTAACAAGTTTAGCCAATCCTGTTTGACTAAAAATAACCGTTTTTCTTTCCACCCACACCAGTTAATTAACCGTTGGCCAATGGAAAGGTGGGAGGTTGATAGGTTGGTTAATCGAAATTTCCTGGCTTTCAGAGATGCGTTGTGGTCTGATGTATGGGGGTTACGGGTCGACAGGGACCGCATGGTGGGCACGACACGTGAGTCTGCTGCTGCCTCATTCCCTGGTGTCACCCTCGAGGGTTACTAACCAGCAAACCACACCAGTTGCAAATTGCTCACTTATCCACCCAGAACCCTTGAACACCTCCAGAACTGGCTCACCACGAAGATGCACTCCGGAAAAAGCGAAATTCGGTGAGAATTTTAATTTATCTATTTGTTAGAATCAAAAGTTTTTTTTTCTTGTTATTTTTATTTTTATTGTTCAAGAAATTAAGTTTATAATAAGATATTCAACTTTCAAAATTTATCAAGTGGTAATATTGGAAAATTTATAACTAAAATTAAATTAAATTAAGGTTAAATAGATCATATATTTTTATAATTATAATATTAAAATGAATAATTAATGATTCTTTATAAAAAAAAAACAAAGTTGTTTTGAGTATTTTACAAATAAATGATTTAATATCATTTATTTTAAAAATATTTATATGAATTAAATAAAAATTGATGATAAATTTCTAATGAATTCTCTAAATCTTTGCATATAAATTACAACTAAAATTGTCCCAGTTTTTTGAATCATGATTTAACTTCATACTTTTAATAACATTTATATACGTATATGTTTGTATGTATATGTCATACGTGTATGAAGTATTGTAATTAATTTCAATTTCCTAAACTTAAAACTGTGAAATTTTAAATTGAATGTTCATTTTAGTCGAGTGCTAGTCATTTTGTTATTCGGTTGATAAGAATATAAAGTATATCATACATATTGAAGTATTTCTTTGTACTTTTAAGAAAAAATTAACAAAAGTAATTTTTATTATGAATCCTTTAATTAATATTTTTGTCATTTGACGATTGATTTCAATTTCTATCGATTAAATTAAATAAACGATTTTTTTTTACAAATCATATATTTTATATATTCCTTTATAAAAAAGAAAATTCAAAAATAAAGAAAAAAAATTGAAAAAAATAATTGAAATTCCACGTTGATCAATAATCAGATTTATCGCGTTTATCATAAAATCCCATCGAAGTCTGATTCCCACGAGATATTTCGACGCGACCGGTTGACGAAGGATCGTAAGAAATACGCGAAGGCCTTGAAAAAGAGGACAATTCGCCGACAATTTGGTCGTAAGTACAATAAGTAGATAATATCCTATTTCGTGAACACCACTTGGCGAACGACTCGGTTATCATAAACGTTTACGCATATCGTTATCGTCAAAAGTGGGAGGAAACTGTCTATTAAACCAATTATGAATCTTTTTCCTTAGTGAATATCGTATCGATTTCGATAATGGCCGGTGATTATGTGATTATATGCGAAACTTTTGCGCATTCTTCTTAAATGATAAGAAATTAATCATCTGATGAGATATTCGTTATTATATAAATATTATATAGATATGTAAAGTGCTTTTGTAATTAAATAGTTGGCGCCAAATTATTTATTATCAGATAGTTATTGTTGGAAAATGTTGGATAATTTATCGTTAAATATATGATTTTTTTTCGAGTTATAGAGAATAATATAGAAAAATAATTTTTTAAATTAATCTCATTTATTTATATTCTTTTTATTATTCGAAGAAAGAGTTTGTTCTCGAATGACTACTTATCGAATTAATTAAATTGCTTAACGATATAGGAAAATGATATTGAAATATTTTAATTATAAAGATAACGATAGAAAAGAAAAGAATTCGTTCAATAATTATTTAAAAAATTATTCGACACAAAAGATTTTCAAAATTTAAAATTGTTTTCTAAATATACTTCTTCTCGATCTTATACTTAAAACAAATATACTTAGAATAATGGAACAAATTCTTTTTAACATTATTTGCAGAAGAAGAAGCTCCATTGAATTTGAGTATCAAAGCAAACGATGTATCGTCCACCATAGGACGAAAAAGTGAAATTTGGTCGCCAGGAACGGTATGCGAGAGAGAAGCGAAGGAAACTAGGGTACCATCATCTAGGAGTCCATCCTCAACGCCTGTAATCACTCGGCCAATCCATCATTCACCGTTGACACCGCCTTCCTCTTCGGAAAGGACTTTCCAGGTATGTCCTCTTTTCCGTTATAATCTTATAAAAATAAAGCTCGAAGGATATTTTTGAGGAAGAAATAAGCACGTGTAATTAATTATTTGACAAATTTCTTTTCTTCATTTTCTGAAATACATCATTTTTTTTTTTTTTTAAGAATGAATTGTTTATCGATGGTATTGATAAACAATTATATATATAGATTATATATATATAAACAATTATATATAGATAGAATTAGATATATAGCAATAAATTTCTTATTAACAATATAACGAGAAGCTATTCTAAATCTAAATAAGTAAATTAAATCTAAATTTTAAATAAATAAAAGAGTAAAAGAAATAAAAAGAATAGTGAGTTTAACCTGGTTCGAATTGTCAAACAGTGAAGTTGTTGACAGTTTTTCGAGGAATGCTATGATACTATCACTCTAGGAAATCTTTACAAAACCTCCGTGTTCTGTTATATTCTCGGTTATCGATAATCGAAACCAAATAACGACTATTCGTTTTTTATATTCTCGCGTAGAATCTTTTTATGAGTTTCGTAAACACCCTACTTTAGCGTTTAACAGCCTCGAACTCATAAAAAAAATCGCGATCAAAGTTCTTGAATAGTAATTTCTTGAAAGATTTATTTCTTTTCTCATTTCTTTTTTATTTTTAGAAGAGGAAAATTGCTATATGAAATATTAAAATCAATTATATTAATATTAATATTTATTGTATAAGTAAAAGAATGTTCTTAATTTGAAATTGCTTTTAATAAAATTAATATTGATTTTTATTCAAAAAGAAGCATTAGTATAGATACATATTTAATTATTTTTATGATATTAATCATCTTTTTGTAATAGATTAAGAATATATAATAGATAGTCTATGTTTTATTATATAGGAATTTTAGTATATATTTTTGTCAAATTATAATATTTTTTTTTAATATTTTCGAATTTGTTTCATTTTAAAAGAGGTTTTTAAAACACAATGACAAAGACAATTTGTTGACAATCTTTTTTTGTTTGAATTTATATCTCTATCAGTATTGTCACTGCTTACGTATATATTCCCTTGTATAATAATCTTGTCACACATCTCTTTAGTCATTTTTCTTCTGGTAGATTCTGCCACTTTTGTCGTAGTTAAAATGAAAAAATGAAAAAGTGTTATCGCAACAAAAGCTTTTAAGTATCATTTAGGTTACGTATGCGTATTTGTTCGACATAAATTGACGTTAAATTATTTAAATACTGGAATAAGTATATGAAATTATAAGCGATAATAGAAAATAATATGAGTAAAAGATTCTTTAAAAAAAATAGTCTATCAATATTTTTCAATAAATAAAAAATATAATCTTTTTTATCGAAATTCCACAATTTTGAAAATTTTTCATTACAGTTTCTTATCCATATCGTTCTAGTAAAATAAACGAACTAATCGCTAAAATTATTAATTAATAATAATTAATAATAATAATTGATAATAATTAAAAATATTTGTCAATTTTCTGTCATTAAATCAAAAAATATCATAAATATCATACCATATCTATAACACATACTAATATTATTATAAAGAAACAAGGAAATTATAAATTACAAAAAAAATGATAAAAATAATAAGAAAAACAAATGTTTAATAATTATACAACATTATGAAACACTTACTAATTATTACGAATTAATATATAACGTTAAAACGTATTATCTTAAATGTTATTTCCATTTAATAATTCCTTTTATTCTGATTTCCTTCACATTCTATTCCATAATTTTATCCATTACGATAAATTTAAAAAATATTCCAATTTATCATAGAACTATACTCTTTCATTTTCTTTTTAGAAATTATTGTAACATTAAAAAGATAAATTCACAAATTAAACCATTAACTTTATATTTAAAATATACAATGCATCACACATATATATATATATATATATAAATATATCACGCATAGCATGAAAACATCCTTAAGCCAATATTCCATCTTGCAATCTCTCTTTTCAATATCACACACAGGACTACTTTCCCC